TTTGCACGTATTGTCTGTTTTGATCAAAATTAATTTTTCAATTTCATTCGTTAAGCTTTAAATCAGAAACAATGAAAATGCGAGGAAAATTGGAAACGCCTTCCTTATGTAACCGAAGTGCGTTCTTCCGTTCTGATTATGATTGGCAAATTGAATATACTATTGCTTCGATTTTTGCTTTTAATAGAATCATCAAATACCCTCTTGTTTAGCTTCTCATATTTCCAATCTGATTCCAATCATGGTAAGGTTCCCAATTATCGCGCTTGGAAGTATATATTTATACCTGTTTTTATTGGGAAAAACGTGTTCAGTTTCGCGTTACCTCATGCATTAATAACCGAATCTCAACGTTTCGAATTCCTACTTTTTTAATTTTATAAGACACTGTATAAGATGATAAAGTTGCCGATATATCTTTCTTTCCGCACAATTTTTTATTTGTAGAGTTTATTTGTTATGGATAGCTGTATTAAATCGATAAGGAGAAAAACAAAGGGAAGATAAGGAAGTTAATAGACAACATGATTCCGATTACCAATAGTAAAAAGAGCGAGAATTTTTAGGGAGGAAGATCATACTATCAATTTGATGGCGTCTCGAGAATGTTCTAGAAGAATCGCTACAATATTCAGTTGTATGTCCATATCATTGAATAATAATATTATTCAATGTCCATATCGAAAGCCAGGTATTAAATGCTTTTACGGTAAATCTTTTATCATTTTTGTTATTTGTATACACCATAAGTACGGTGAATCTAACATAGCGCACAAAAGGGTTACGTTTCCTATTTCTGTTTATCTAATATTTTTGAATGTTATGAAGTTGCTATTAGTTTTCGGATAAAATTGCTACAAAATCTGTGCTCTTGTGAGAAAGGTGATTAAGTTACACTAATCTTAATCGGAAAGCGGTAACGAAGCGTCCTTTTGTTCGGGTTTGTAAATATTATAAAATTTTGGCAACTTGGAGCCGCAAAGTCATATTATAAAACTGTACGTTAATTGAAGTGGCTTGTTATCGATCCCGTGCGTTGCTTTTGAGAGGAGTCTTTTAATTATTTTTTTAATTAAATATTGGCGTTCTGGGAAGCGAAGAATAATTAGTATCAAATACCTTTGATTATAAATTCTGGAGAGGAGAACTGAAGAACACAACTCGTTAAGTCTGTTTGGCACTTAATTAATTATCTCGGCTCTTAAGCGGCAATCTCTTTCTATGGAGGAATATGGCTAATTAGTAAAATAAAGTTTATCAAATGTCAGGTTTATGTCTAAAAGCATGACTCAACACATAACTGCCACGATACTGCCACACCACAAGGATGGCTACGCAAAATTTTAACTAAATCGATAGTCCGCGTACAGAAGGTACCTATTAATACATGGAGATGGTTAACTGCAGTTATACACTGAATTTGACCTCACGACTTTTGATCTGTTTTCGAAAGGGAACACAATATAGTAGTGGTAGTTCACCTCGCCATGTTCCTTCTTGATCCACATAGTCCAGAAAGCCCTTGCGTTCCGCTCCTTACCGAAGCCTTCCACGCTGCTTCTAGCTAATAATGAAAAGTTCAAATTGCCGATTGTCCTATACGCCGATGCCACTAAAAGTGCCATGACTCACCAAGTCCGATCCAGAATCTCTCCCCATTCGGTGCTGTAATCTTGACTTACGCTATACTTACAGTAGGCAACTCCGGAGAAAAATAACAAGCAGAGCCATCTAGCTTTTAAGTCGAAATGTCGGTTGTTTGGCGGCACTTTCAAATCTCGGCTCGGACAAGATGGTACGAATAGGTTCCTACGTTGTGTATAATACTGTGGCGGTTTTTATGTATTAGGAGGTGAGGCACAGTTGGAATGGGAATTGACCGACTTTGTGGTTCAATGGTAGAGCGTTAGGTTATAAAGCCGGAGGGCGGGTGTTCGAACCTGGACTGATGCATTCTGCCGGCTGCTCCAAATTAGGTTTTCCTGCAATTTTCCTAATTCGTAAGGTAAATACCGGAGTAGTATAGAATAACTTAAGACCTTCTGCAGAGGTACCTCAAAAAGCATTATGCGGGTCACTGTATTTGGGCACAAACCTGTTGAGAGTCCAGAACAACGGAAAAAATAATAAATAAATAAATAAACAAATAAATAAATAAAACGCGGAGCTTTGTGCGTAAGAAAAGACAAGAAAAATGAAATATATTACGCACACAAAAGGGCCAGGCATAAACCTAGCATAACACACACAAATACAAGAAACAAGAGAAATCATCTCAAATCCTACATTAAAAATCAGATATTAATAAAAACACAACTGAGATCCTAAAGCACATGAAAAACAATATAAACCAAATTAGTACAAAAACACATCTACGATCCATTTAGACAAAAGTAATTTAGTAAAATAATAAATAGTGCCTACATACATAAAAACAACTTCAAAAGTAACATAGCTCTAATCCAGCATCAGCCACATTAATTGAACACGAAACGTATATGTCGAAATGCCAGCAGTATTCTTGTTAAAGTCACAAACAGAGTCACATAGAACAGAAGAGGAGTTAATTAGAGGACCTCCCTTTCTGGTATTGCTTACGCACCGTCCGGTAGTGGGCACGAGAAGTTCAGAATTTTATGGGGTACTCCCTCTACGGAATAAACGATTAATCAAACATACAATGCAACTATACACTTATAATATACTCCCACGTGAATACATAAATGAATAGTTAATTAAATAATGTAAAAGCATAACTACCTGTACAGTACAACAAACAATCATGATTCAGTAACGGTACACAAAACAAATGCTTGGAGTACGCTATTCTTCACTAACTTCATCACTAATACAAAATGTAAATAATAACAAACTGTGACATGAAGTTTAAATATTAATTTTTATTGCGAGAAAAAATTAAATGATTACTACCTGTAAATACAACAAGCGAAACAAAAAACTAACAAAATAAACATTGAGAAAATCCGGTACGCTAGCTGGCTTCCTGACAAGCTTCGTCGCGAATATCCCTGTTTCTCGGCATTGCGCAGAATGGTCGAAGTCAATTGTTGTATAGAACGGTTCGTATTTTTCCCATAGTGCAATTCATTCTGATGTAAAGTGTGTTGCCTAATCGTAGGTACGTCACCGCAACCTCTGTATAAGTACATCAATACCATTGACCTCCACTGTACAGGCCGAGAAACCTCTATTCATGGAGATTAAGATCAGGCCACTAGATCATACGCCACGTTCTATAACAAGGGCCTCTGTTTCACTCGCCTATTGTCTTGTATCTTGGACCCGGCGGCATCCTCACTCCAACGTCTCTGATTGTAGGAGCTTTTGAGTAAATACCTGGTACTAGATCAGTGTTCACAATGCGGTGAATCTCAAAAGATATAAATGTAGTTGTTGCTTTTAAAACCTTAAAATAATTGTTGTTCCAACATTAATTACTAAATTTCCAAAACAAGAAGGGGGTACTGTAAAGGGAAACGCTAACGGAAAATACAGTTTAGTAAATAAGAATGAGAAGCGAAGGGTTGACGTCACAGTCCCATCATTCATCCATAAATTCGATTGAAGTGTTAATTACATTTATCTAAAATTAAACCAAAATCAATGAAATGTCACCTTAAGACCGTAAAACCAAACCATTTGTAAAATTGACCTATGAAAAAAATCGAAAACGCTACTAAACAAAAACATCCAAAATCAAGCTGATTTGAAACAATGTGTACAATGGACATAGTTAAAATGAATAAATAAAAAAGGAACCTTACCAGAAAAGATCTTTTTCATCATCAATTTAAAAATGGCCAAAAATTTATATTATTTTCACGGGAAAAAACTGTAATAAAAATACAACAACAAAACCAATAACACTTTCATATAATTAATGCGAGTTAAGAGCACAACTGCCATCAACTCATACCTTTTTTTTTAATTTCTTGGTTTTTTATTTCAATTTCTGTTGCTTCAACAGCCACAAGGGTTTCATTGTTGCAGTATTTTCATGATGTATTAACTGTTTAACAGTTGAAAAATGAAAAGGAAAACTGCTCACAATCTACTTGTATTAGAAAAAAACATCTACATAGGGTAGTATATTCTTAGAATCTCTGAAAATATTCATAGAAACTTGAGAAAAGACTTCAGAGACGCTTAAAGAGAAACTAGTGGAGGTTTGAGTAGAACTGGAAGGAACTTGAAAACTTGACGGGTACTTGAAGGCAACTTGAAGGGTAGATGGAGAGAATTGGAGAATAATTTAAAGAGAAGGAAGCGAGCGAAAATTAAACCAAACTCAAAAATCTAAAAGAAGCTTTAGAAGAGCAGGAAGCGAATTTGAGGCGAACTCGAGATAAAGACTTTAAAAGAACTTGAGAACAACTTGAAGGAGACTAGACGAATGACTTTTATGGGAGCCTGAGATGACAATTACAGGAAAAAAAGAATGTATTAAAAAATGAACAGCTAAGGAAAGTGAGAAGAATTTGTAGGGAACTTCGAAAAAGTTTAATAGCTTAAGAGATCTTTCCAGGAAATTTAGATAGAGATCGAAAGAAACATGAAGGAAATTTGAGAGAGAGAAAACTTCTGAAGAAATTGTGAGCAACTGGAGAGGAGAACTTGAAATCGATAGGAAAGGGTTAAGAATTACTTGCGGAGAACTGTAGAGCAATTTAATGTGACGAGCTAGTCTTTCTTAACTATGGAAAGTGATATTCGTAATAATCTACCCATCAATGTAACAGTAAAAAAATGGTACACAAAAACACATTGTGCTATTGTTTGCGACCTTTCTTTTTGAAACCGCGACAAACTTACATTTTATACGCTTCGGAGCATTTAATCGGATTAGTCCACAAACTGTTCTTATCATTTTATTGTGATGAACTTCTTACAGGCAATAAAAGCCTACCTTTGTGGCTCACGTTAACGTCGCATTTACTGCCAACTTGGTAATTTATCTAAATTAATTCTTTCTGTTCTAGATCCCTACGAAGCTTATAAAACATCGCATCTATTAGAAGACCTGCAGCTGCAACGACTGAAACAACACTTAGTAGACATCCTTTTGCATCCAGATCAAGGGGTACCATTAATTTACGTTGAGGAATATCCGACCGGCGAACAAGACACGGAAAGCGACGCGTATTATAATCAGTTCCCCGAACTTCAGAAGGACCCGAAGAAGGAATTAACGGAAGTTCCATTTAAAAGATCGAGGTATTACCGCAAATATCCGTGGAAACGGCAAAATTCTAGAGAAGCGTAAGTTGGTTTTCCAAAACTTCGGTTATAATTTTTCGTGGTCGTCTCGCTAGATGGAAAATTCGGGGAAGTACATAGATTCAAAACAAACAAACTTTGTATTCAATTTGAGAGACAACGTACAGAAAAACAATAACAATCGATCGACCGCCTACGATTTCATCCTCTTACTTTTCCGAGTACAATAACTGTATACAGACAAAATTTTTCTTTGGGAAATTTTCTTCTGCGAACGCATTTCTGATATCCTAATGTTAATGTTTTGCAGATACGACGCCGAAAACCGCTACATGTGTCAACCAAGCAAAGACGACGTCTTCCGTTTACTTGTGGCGCTCCACGACGCACGACAAGGCAATAGTCGCACGGTCAATTTTTGTAATCGCAGAAGAGCGGCGACCGCAGTTTTCACGAACATTCGATTTTTGGGCCGAAAGAAATAAATTCGTCGTTTCTATCATTCTGCAAATTAAATATTATAAACTATGATGTGTGACTGAAAAATGTAGTTACTTTTAAAAATTTAGAATTTCAATGTTACGATGTATAGGTGTTAAATAAATGAATCAGTATTATTTATGTAATCAGCAATTCAAATGTTGCAAATGTCTAGAGAAATAATGTGCATCGGAAGATTCTATTAAACTTTTTATTACCTATTCCTTCTTCTGTTTTATTTCGTCGAACCAACTATCTGAATTTTATTTTGGATTCTTCGTTAGTTACCGGCAAATGAGCACCGCATGGTTACGAGAGAATATAGGAAGAGCAGGTAAGTTCTATATTCTGAAGGTAGGAATAGTACATTATATATCAAGGTAGAGAAGTACAGTATTATTGCCTGAGCATCAAGGTGCAACGGAAAAAACTCGAGACAAAAAGTGTGATAAAATCGCGACAGTTTTAACTGGTGCTATTTTATTAATATTATGCTTTTGATCGAGAGTTTTTTCCAGGAGGCCACCAAATTTGAGTGAATTAAAAATTAAATTATCCTGACTTAAAACCAAGGTCGAGTGTATTTTAGAGAGTTTAATAAAAGACAGTAAATTTTACAACCACTACATATTTTACGCATTCCTACACGCATTTTTATCGCTGTTAAAAAGCTACCTAACGGTTAATCAGATAAAAAATCAACTGATTGGTTAGAATTTGAAACAATCACCAAGCTGATTGGTCGTATATTAATGGAGTGTATTAATCATATAAAATACATATGCCTTATGGATATTATTTGCACCATAAAAATTAGTTAGCTATGGAAATTACACATAAGTATATAAGAACTGCTTCTTTGTTTTTTAGCAGAATTAGGTAACAAATATGCTGATTGATTTAACGACTTTATATAGGATATGAGTAGGTACGTTCGTTGAAATTTTCAAATTTTGCACTGCGCTGTGTTCTAAACGATTTACCTCGCAATATTGTGGTAGTGAAATAAATACTGTGACTTACAAAAAGAATTGTTTAGTGAGTAGAGCACAAAAAGAAAAAATGTTCCAAAACCCACTCGTGGGTATTGCCGCGTAACACAAAGTATTGAAACGATGCATCGTCATCGAAAGCACA